AGAATAGTATGTTCAATAGCATATCATTTGTATAAACTTTTGAAACATTCAAAATTATATGTTATTATATAGATACAAATATTTGGAGCAAAACAATAAAAACACATTGGGAATCATAACCCCAAGTTTAAATTTATTTTATTTCTAGTGGGAACCTAGAACAGATGGATTCTCAGGGGACTCTGATGCTATTGTTCCTAGATGGCTTCTTTGTAATAAATCTGAATTGAATATAGAAAACAGTAAGATTTGGCAAAGTTAAGTGTTGGATTTGTGGGTATTTGTTACATAATGCTATATTTTTCTGTTTTTGAAATGTTTCATAAATTTAAAAACTAGGTAATGTAAAGGGTGCTAAAAACTTTACTAGCAATGGCCTAGACCACCCCTGAGCATAATTTACAGGAGCTCAAAGGAAAGAGGAACTCAAAATCACATCTCGGAAAATTTCCATTATAAGACTTTTATAGAAACAAGACCCTCCTCAGGGGTATTTATCTATCAGAAAGATACTGGGGGAAGGGGTTCTACCAAAGAAAGGAGAACAGAAGAGGGAAAGAAGAGAAGAGGATAATACCTCTATGGTATTTAAAAAGATAAATAAATAACACACAAACACACAGGTAAGAATTTCCCTCTGCAAGAAGAAACAAGATAGTAAATGAAAAAAGGTCTTATTAAATTTGTGCTTCCTATCTGAGTCCAGCTTCTTCCCCATTAGGCTAGATAATTACAAAAAAGTACACCTGGCTCTATTACTGTCTGAGTCTCAGGGTAAGACAGAGCCCTGAGATGTTTTATTATCAAGTAATTCCATTATTAAAGAAAAATTTCTGGTTCCCTGGGAATTGTTAAAAATGGAATTTAAACTTGTTCTTAGTATAACTACCTCTCAAACTTCTCTACCCCATTCCTAATGATGGCAAGAATGAGAAAATAGAAAATGGACTTAATTTTCTCATTCTAAAACCTGTCCTTAAAAATGTTTTGACATTCTTTTATAACACCCAAAAATCAAGGTAAAAATTGAATCCACAGTTTGACCACTTGTACAAGTTACATGTTCTAAGTTCTATCCATATAGAATGTTACATGCCTGAAATTTCCTTTAAAAATGACACAAAATTGCAAAATAAATAAAAAATAGCAGTAAAATCTCCTTGCCTTATATGTCAAGGCTCTGAAAACTGTATGTCAGCTCCTAGCATGTTCATTAATACCTGGTTTTTCTAAAACATGCAAGTCAACACATCAAGAAAATTAACTTCATAAAGCTCTTAGAAAACAAATTCTGAAGCTTTTGCAGAATACTACACCTTTCTTTCATGGACAGTTCTGGAAAACCAAGAAATGTGATGGCAAATGCTGTCATGAAGAACTAACAAATGAAGTCAAATTTAACGAAGGATATGTTTACTTTCAAGAAAGCACTTGAAGAAGTGAAGTTTCAGTATTACAAATATAGGAAAGGCAGGGGGTAACACTTCATGTGCAATAATGCATCCTACAGAAAAGAAATGAGTCAGTCATGTATGGTTTATAAAGCAACTGCATCATGTTGCCTGGTACCATTTAGTTTCAATCACCAGAAGCAATCCCAAAACACTGACAAAACAAAATACCTCAATCCATTAAAGCTCAAGACCAACCAGCAACTTAGGAACACAGTAGGATTTTCCCTTCCATGTTATATTAGCCACATAGAGTTATCTGATTGAAAAATCAAATTATATCACCATGATTTCAAAGCCTGCTGTTCTATTTTTTAAATACATTTCATCTAGCCAAAGAATGTTTCTAAAGTTCTATATGCCAATGTACTTGGAACATATTAATTCCATTAGCAGGCTATTTCAGGAAATAGTGAGCATATTTCTTGGGAACAAATACATGTGGTTAAAAAACAGCCTCAAAAAAAAAAAGCATGAGGTGAAAAAGCTGAAAACAAAGATGACTTTTAAATGCAATTAGAACTCTGTCCCATCACATATCAAAAGTGTCATAACTGCTTCTCAACTGAGAAGTTAGTGTTTTGGATTTCAGTCTTTAAACCAAAGATCTTATCTTGAGATGGCACTATAAGGAGTCTATCTGCCTCTTAATCATAGGCAACTGCTAAATGAAGTGTATCTATTTTCTCTGTTACATTACCATTGGCAACCAGGTCCTCAGTAAGTGCCCAGAAATGTTTCCATGGTTACAAAAAGCATTCAGCATCCCTCTTGTTTTGGGCCAATTTAGCTTAAAGTCTATTGTGGAGAAAATATGGCACATTAAGAAACATAAAATCAAGATACAGTGTTATGAAAAGAATTCAAGGTTAAATGGGAAAAGCAGGCTTGACAAGGCTTTTTAAAAAGTACATACAAATCATTGATTAAAATGCTGCCTTTTCCTAGCATATCTCCAAACACATCTCTTTAATACACTGCAAAACAGCCCATGTACTGCAGCTGACATACCTTGATATAAAGGAAAAAATGAGCCTGTGAGGATAATTTAAGCCTGTTAACCAGCAGGTAAAATCACACAAAACAAGTGTTTTAACGTTCAGACAGCTGAGAGTCCAGTCCTAGTTTCACAGAGTCCTCAGGGCATTTAAATACTTTGAGAAAAAAGAGGAGTAAGAGCTTGTGTTCATTGGCTATAAGGCATTTGAAATAAATTGGTGAGCTATATCATGTCAGGGAAAGAGAGAAAGATGGAAGTTCCCTAGAGGCAACTAGTAAAGCTCCTCCATCCACAAAGTCATGAGTAAATTGAAAAAATGGGACTGTCTCATTCTAGGTCTCTGCTGTATTCCCCAATCCTACTGCCACCAGGGCATTAAAAACATTTTTGCATCTTCCGGAACACAGTAAACAAATGGAATAAGCTTTTCAATAACCTGAAGGAGAGGCCCACACCTTATACTTGTATATACTTGTCCATTCCCCACAGTGCTTTGTACAGGCAGCATTCAATAAATGTTTGAGTAACTGAGAAGGGCCATCATATAAGACCTCTCATCATAGAGAAATACTTGCCCCCCATATTTACCTGTACAAAGATACCACCCTTTATCATTTTCTATTGCTTGTATTTTCACTGTGAAATGGAGTAAAGTAGGTGGGGTTTAAGGTCATAAGGCTATTAAGGAGTAATTTGAAGACTTTCACTTCCAGAAGATGACCAAATGTCCTCTTCCCTATCCTTCTTCCTAAGTACAACGAAAGCCTAGGCACTGCATATGCAACAAAGACAGAGGTGCAGAGAGGAAGACAGACCAGTAGGGAACAGGGGACTTAAGGGACACCATGGGGGCAAGTTCTCCAAGTTCTTTAGCCTCATCTATCCTAGCCTTGAAGCAGAAGGAGTTGGTAACCCAGAAATGCCTATGGGCACAGAGAACGAAAGGCCTCGAGAAAAGCCTGCTCCCTCTACACAAAAGACCAGAGAAGGGGCAGCCTCACAAAACAGGAAGCTTCTAGGCAACAAATGTTATACTCCAGCCAAACAGCACAGAAAAAACTGTGTTCCCCAGTTTCTCCCATGCCAGCAAAGGCTGAGTGGGGAGCCTAAATGTACATCCTCCCCAGGCTGAAAATAGACACCCCAGTGCCACCATGGGTAGGAGGGGTGCCAGGGGAGGCTGAGCAGGGACCTAGGACTATATCATCCTTGATGGCTAGCAATAAACATCCTGCACCCCTGCAGTAGTAGAGACCACATTGGGAGTCTAGACACCACCCCCTCCCCAATTGGAAGTAATGGGTAGTGTCAGAAGAAGTCTAATGGAGACAGAATTCTCACCACCATCCAATAGCAATGAGGCTGCTCTTAGCTCAGTGTTAGTAGAGACCACATGGGGAGATAAACTCCCATCCCAACTCAGCATTAAAGGAGGTTGAGAGAGAAACATGGACTTTTGCCTCCACCCCTCAGTAATGAGCCAGTGTGCCCAATTGCCCTGTTAGAGCCCTGTCAAAGACTTGGAGATGCATTTTTGGGGAAGCAACATCAAAATAATGACAACTATTTCTCTTCATATATTCATATTGTTTTACACACTGCATCTTCTTACAAGCTACTATAATAGCTCCCTAACATATATTCCTCCCTCTAGTTTGGCCTCCAAACTGATGCTAGAGTTATCCTTTAAAACAGAGCTCTGTTGGTATCACTTGGGATTAAGATCTTCTGAGATTCCCAACTGCTTACAGGATAAAAGCTAAATTCTTATCACAAAAACAAAAACCTTCCCAACTGCAGTTTAAGTCTGGTCTGATCCATGATCCATCTCTGAAAATGTCAGCTTTGTCTATACGTCTGTGTTCAGGTCATTTTCTCCAATAGAATGCCTTTCTTCCTCCATTCACCTGTTAAATTCTGACTCATGTTCACAGTTTTCAGCCCTACATCATCTGCTCTGTAGAACCATTTCTGATCATCTCAAGAGTTACTAAGTACATAATTGTTGGAAATTACCACAAACTATTTTTATAGGACTTATTATCTATCTCTTAAGCATTACAGAACTCCTTAAGGGAAAACCAATATCTTATTTGTATACTTATTTCCCAGCCCAAACATGCTACCCCAATTAATGAGCATGTCCAATTCAGTTTTAGACTATAGTGTAAACTCTAAGTCCCAACTTCCAAATAAGATGTGAAAAATCGGAAATAATGCTCCCACTCTCTAAACAATAACAACAAAATAAAGATAAATTGTGAAAATGACACATTTTCTTAAACTCATCGGAGACCTGAGGTCACATAGCAATCAACTAATTCAGAAGTTGCAAAATGAAATCTCTTTTAAAGGGAGAAAGGACCCAAGCATTTGCTTGCCAGGGACAAATGCTGGATTTACCCAAGCTGATAGAAAGAATTAGGTTAGCATATACAAGGAATTGCCAAAGGCTGAGTGTGGACTAGCGCAAGAGTACAGAACTCACTGGAACCACAAATCCAAGGAAAATTGAAACCTGCTTAGAAGCGCATCTCCAAAAAACTCACCTGGTGCTTCCAAGAAAGACTGAGGCAGGACAGAAGTGGAGAAAGCTTTTCTCATAGTACAGTTCTGAAGGAGGGAAGGAGCAGCTGTTACAGGAGAGATAAAGTCTCGGTGAGATCCTTCTTTATATTTCCACTATGCAACAAAAGTCTTAAGCCAAAACTTAAAATAGAAATACCAAATGACCCAGTAATTCCACTTCTAAGAACTTACCTCCCAAATAAAGCAGAATCTCTGGCTCAAAAAGATATATGCACCCCATGCTTATCAATGCATTATTTACAATAGCCAAGATATGGAATCAACC